TTTACATTGGTTTTTTTCACATAATCGATTGAAATTGAAGAATCTTCTTAACATGATTGCACGGAGAAAATGAATATTACCCCTTATTTGTGGATGTGTTTTTAAAAATGTTAATATACACATACATACATACATATATACACAAAGTTCCACCAAATGCTGCAATCGCGATTATTAACATAATACTAATAAAATATTGGCCATGAGTGTGGTCCCGGTATAGAATAAGCCACCAATTCCTTTCCTGTGGGTGTCATAAGAATCGACTAAGGGAGAGCGAGGGATGGGCAGCAGCGTCTCTCTTAAAACATCTCTAAAGCCTAACTGCGGTTGCCAACCCGCATGCCAAGCGTGGCAACTACTTGCAAAACCAAAGGGGGTTTATGTTCAGCAGTGGACAGTTAAAGGCTGATATGATAATGATTATTAATGAAATAGATTTTGGAAACTGAAATGAGTCTCTAAGAACGATAGTACACTTACCCCCTTTCATTACGCCATCACCTCGACCAAATAGTCCCGACATCAATCTTATTTGCTTACAGAATATGAAATGTAAATCACTGACGAGTTCGCTAGTGAAAATCGAATTCGGCTTTACAGAATAGTACTGCTGTGGTATAAATTAATTTACGACTTGTACGCGAAATGTCCTAATTACCATTTAGTGCATGATGATGGATTAATAAGGGGAATCTAAGTGTTTGGAGGGGGTTTTTTTTATAGGTGAAATTGGAATGGTAACCCTGCGCTAACGGGATACACTGGCGGAGCACCAGTGAAGGTTGATCGATGAGAATGAAAACAGGCCAGTTGGCCCATCATGATGAATTCATCAGGAATTAACCATGGTAGTTTCTAGGGGGAACTACGAGGAGGTCGAACTGGTTGGGCATATTGCTAGCAATGGGTTTTTTAGTCTCCATTGCTAACAATTCCTTTCTCCCCCTGTTTGGAGGGTTTGAAATATCAGATGTGTGTATCTTAGTTATTCTCAAGGGATCGTATACAGTGATAAGGTTTGTTTTTTTCAGGAATTCAGGAAAATGTTTCTTACGAGAATCTCATTAGTAAAATTATGCATTAAGATAAGGACAAGGAATTTCTATTTGCATATTATAATGAGTTTTTATGAGTAAAACAGTTCTTTGAGACAATGCAATTATGTGGAGGTGTGGTTAAAATCCATACCTTTTTGGCAACGCATGGGGGGGGGGGGGTATCATGGGCGAAACAGTATACTCTGTTATGTCCATGGTACTGCTCATGTCTATAGGCGACAGTTGTCACTTTCCATCAGGTGGGCCGTCAGCTTGTTTGCCATTCTAAGTTGTATAAAAAATAAAATAAATAAAAACCTTTTATAGTACAGTGATGAAGTTAAAATATTTTATCCACTCCTGAGCACAGTAACAAATAAAATGAACTAGAAGTAAAACACTATCGCCATGTGGTCCCGGCATAGAATAAGCTACCTATTCCTTTCCCGTGGGTGTCGTAAGAGTCGACTAAGGGAGGGCGAAGGATGGGCAGCAGCGTCCCTCTTAAAATGCCTCTAAAAGCCTAACTGCGGTTGCCAATCCACTTGCCAAGCGTGGCAACTACTGGCAAAACGCCCATTATGGGGAAGGCTCATGTTCAGCAGTGGACAGTTAACGGCTGAAATAATAATAATAACAACATAATAAAAACACTATACCAAACCGTATGGCCAACAATGTAATGTTAAGCTTTTACGAGGAGGGAGTCGTGCCTAGTAGTAGTAGGCTATAACAGAATGGTATTAGTATTAGAATTGTAGTTAAAATTATATTGCAAGGTTTAAAGCAAAAATGCTGAGTAGGTACAAATGTTAGACGTCGACATACGTACTAGCGCCCCGCCCCGGCTTCGCACGGGTGCATATTATATCACATCACATTAGAAACCTCTAAAATTATCAGTGTTTCTCTACAATATTATGCATGTATTATACATATAAACCTTCCTCTTGTATCACTCTATTTAAAAATTCGCTTCAAAATCCGTTGCGTAGTTTTAAAGATTTAAGCATACAAAGGGACATAGGGACAGAGATAGCGACTTTGTTTTATACTATGTAATGATTACTTGTATAATTTTGGCGCCATCTCGTGTTAAGAGTTTTTACGAGATCATTGTTACAAGAGGCTGAAACTGAAAAAATAAATGTATGATTGTATTAAAAAGAAAACTTGGCAGGAGATTTTTTTTCTATTTTATGTAACATAGAATGGAAAATAAGCTGACGGCCCACCTGATGGATAGCAGTAACCATCGTCTATAGACATGAGCAGTACCATGGACATAACAGAGTATACTGTCTCACCCATGATACTCCCCATGCGTTGCCATTCATCACGACTCGGGTGTTATTCCTCTGTACCTTGTAAATTCATTTCAACTATCTTAAATAAATTCTATTCAAATTTATTTTGGGTAACTGATTAAAATAAATGCATATACTTTGATCCCATATGGGTGTAAGCGATATATGTATATACCTACAGACATAATAAATTCAAACAATGTTCTATTATTCTGTGATTTACAAATACTGTATAACAAAAAAAAAAAAATGTTTATTTTAAAACATTTAGCCGGCTTTACTGTGATATTGGAACACGAAGCCTCTTTTATTTTTACTATTGTATTGCAAAAGTGTTTTTTACCAGACCCTCAAATAAATCAAATACTCGACTATTTGAAAAATGTAGATTAGCAGATGTAATTCTATTTTCGCCAACGTTAGTTACGTTAAATGTTATATTTAGAAACAGAAAAGCTGAAAAATGTCTGTGATGTTATGGAATGGCAAAAAAATACTTTGATCTTAAATTACTTGGAAACGATCACAAAAAGCCAGGCTACTTTGACAATTAGTCTAATAGAATTTCACAATGATTATTATTTATTACATTTAATTTTGCAGGATGTATGAAATGAAATTGAATGGTTTGTTGTAAATAAAAAAAAAGAATAAGAAAAGAAAAAAAGAAGCACCAGAAAGAAATAAAAGTAAAAATTCCTAAAAAGTTCTCCGCTTGAAGGAAATTTCGAGAAAATCCAAGTAAAAGAATATTTGTAATAAAGAAACAGTACAGCAGGCCTGAAAAAAAAATTAACAATACGCAAAGAAACTTTACGCTAACGAGTGACGTGGTCTTTCCAATTTTTTTCCCGTAACCTCATCAATCAAAATTCTGCCTTCATTTTTCGCTGCACTCACAAAACAGCATTGAGAAATTTTTGGCACGTAGGGCCTTGTTGAAAGTACGTGGGACCAGTCGCATAATGCCGTGGCCCACCATCGGCAGGTCAAGGTTTTGGGACCCAGGTATTTCTGGGACAAATATTTCTAGCGACCTTCGCATACTGCCTTTTCGGGACTACGAAACGGCTATTGCATTTCCACGGTTAACAAGGGACGCTCCTTTATTCCGTATTCCTTTAACCTTTGCGATAGTGTATTCTTTTGTTTTTTTCTTTCTTTTTCCAATTGTAACCCGAGTGGATGCGTCGGCTACATTATTTCACCAAGTGAAATCAGCGTGTTGCAATATTAAAATGTCTATTTTATTATTAGAAATGAAGGCAAATAAATAAGAAAAAAGTATCAGTGTAGATTTTTAGTTTACAGTTTTCCTTCAGTAATTTTCGCTTTCATAATAAAATGTACACAAAATATATTATTTAGTTAGATAAATACATAAATAGATAATTCATTTGCATTACTTACAACACACAAATAACAATACAAACATACACATAATACAGACATACACAGTAAAAAGAGATAAAAGAATGCATATAAAAAAAGAACAAAATGGTCACAACTCAGTTTATTGTTTTGCTCTTAAAAAAGCAAAACACTGATATTCTCTTGTGGCAAAGAGCCAGTCGCGAAATTCCATAATAAAACAATAGTACAAATAAATATTTTTTTTTTGTACCTATTTATGTCATTAATGTTGGGACACTTGATACGACACGACGAACTTATGAACATTATAATAGAGGGTAAGATAGAAGGAAGGAGGGGGAGAGAGAGACCGAGACATAATTACATCAGGCAGATCAAGGAAGGAGTTGGTGTCGTGTCATATCAAGAGGTGAAGAGACTCGCTGAAAATTGTAGTGACTGGCAAGAGCTCCACCGACAAGAGCGCAGCTCTTAAATAGGATAGATAGATTTATATCGCTAGTCTTCTTTCAAAGCGTTGAAACTAGTATTATTTGATATGGCAACTTAAAATCTATAATAAGGTTTTCATAATATTTATGGCAAATATACTTATGGTGGAAGAAAAGTATACCAATTTGTAATAGCATAATTGACAATAATATTAAATGCGGACAATGTAGAAACAAATACGATAATCCCTTCAAAAATTCAGATAAGCTTCTAGCTTACCAGCTTTAGTTTTAAGAATGTAAGCTTTAGTTTCATAAGAAGTTTGTTTCTTACTCTATATACGGTAAGAATAGAAGATGGATATATGGATACCAATCCGATATCTATATATCGCGTTTTTCTAGTCATTGATGGCAGAAAAAAGTCTTCAACCATTTCGACATCGCCTATATCGATCGGATATATTTTCGAATATGTACGAAGTCTGTTATCTAATATTATTTTTTGGATAACAGACTATTATTATATCGTTAATGGGATACTACTTATAATAATATTATAATTTAAATATATATATTTTGCTATATATTACCCATTCCTAGTGTACATCTATTTTTTTTAATGGATGATAATGGAATGGTAACCCCGCCTGCGTGAACGGTATTAACCGGCTGGACACCAGTGACGGATGATAGGTGAGGATGAAAGAGCAGGTCAGTTAGCCCGTCGTGATGAATACACCTGGAATTCAGCACGATGGTTTCCAGTACGGACCACGTGGGGGTCGACCTGATGGGGAATATTGCTAGCGATTGGAAGTGTATATGTATTGTAAGTTTCCACTTACCTGTCAAGCGAGACAGCGACTAAACTATAGACGGATGCGGCGACCGACAACCCTTGCACGTACGGGACCGTTTTACACATCAGCCATCCAAGCACCCAAGCTGAAACAAGAAGTTACTTTATGAGTCTAATCAATTTCTATGCACTTGATTTTTATGATAGGAGATATTTATTCCGAGTCCTCAGGAATGGCAACGCATGGCGGGTATCATGGGCGAAACAGTATACTCTGTTATGTCCATGGTACTGCTTATGTCTATAGGAGATGGTTACCGCTTTCCATCTGGTGAGCCGTCAGTTTGTTCCCATTCTAAATTGTATAAAAAAAATGATAGTTCCTTGTTGATGAGTATTTAAGAAGATTTAGCCAAATCTCCTTCTACTTCTAAAGAGCATATTCCTTTTTAAAAGGTCGGCAGCACACCTGCAATGCCGCTGGTGTTGTGGGTGATCATGGGCGGCGGTAGTCACTTACCATCAGGTGAGCCGCATGCTCGTTTGCCCCCTGTGTTTAAAAAAATACTACATCTTCTATCAATACCTGTATAAACTTAGAAGTCTTACAAAGCAACAAGATATTTGGGTATTCCTGCATGTTGCACGAAGACTGTTCATCAGAAATATGAAGGTACTCGTAAGGCACTACGAAAAAGGCGAAGGCATCTTTAAAAATCCCCATACCTGAGCAACAAGTGAAGCAGGTCACAAAATCAATATTTACACGTTGGCCTGCATCCAAAACTAGGTCAGGTCACTGTACGACGACTCTACCTGCGACCCTTTAGCCTTGCATTCCTTATGCCCCTCTCTCTCTAACAACAACAATCCCACACATCTATCCGTTCTACTCACCCGTGGCCTTGCCCCGGCCGAATGCATTACAATACAAAAGTCGGAAATGACACGGCGCTTTCCAATTAAATTTGTATCATAAAATCACAGCTATAGAGCCGCAATTTCCGTATGTCGCAATAAGGAAGAGTTGCATTCGGCTTTAGCTGTATCGATTAAATTTAGAAGTCCGATTAATGAATAAATAATACGATTTTAATGACGGCCAGTTATTGCACGAGATTGTTTTGATTTATTGGTAACCCATATTACGGGGCCTTGACCCGGTGAACTTATTGTTCTATATACCAGGCTTCTGAAGGTGTATGGAACTATAATTTGTTTATGAATTCTAATTTCAAAGTTGGCTGAGTTTTTTTGGTAAAATGAATTATGTATAAATATTAATTGAACTTAAAACTCGAGTGAACAATAATCGACTGGAATAAAATCGATTTAAAAAGAGCTCAGAACTGAAAATTCATAGTATGATGGTAGAATAAAAAGAAATAGGTATAGTAAATAGAGATGTGAGTAGCAAAAACTTCTAAATTAGACTATATATAGACGTTAGTTTGCTGTTGGTCTAAAACTCGTGTTAATTTTGCCATTAGGACCGATTTTGAGCCATTTATACTAAATATATAATAATTTTCTTTTAAACAGTTTCCAGGAAGAACCATGTGGAGGTCGACCCCCCTCCCTCAGCAAGTACTAGGAGCAATCTGTACTTTTGATGATTCAGTGTCTATAGTTCTAGTTATAGTTAAAAAATAATAAAAAAAATTGTGGTTCCCATATTAACTTGATAGCTTGATATGCGCTATGTAAGTGTGGTAGGCTCAAGTTTTTTGTGTCATAAAACATATGTGTATATATATATATATATATATATATAGTATAAGTTGAAACCTATTTATAACAGAGTATTTGTATGGAAACAATCTATCCATATATTCTAAGGTAGTAACATTAAAGCTGTATCTAATAATATATAATCATTCATTCAAGTAACACAATCATGCGTAAAGGTCACTAATGTCTGACACATAATGCTCACGTACCGATAAATTACTAACGAGTCAAATGTACGCTTGCTATAAGCTATTATTAATCCATTAGAAAAACAACTCTAACACTTATAGTTTTCGTTACAATATCGACTATCAATACGTCTAATTGGTTATTAGTATGCCTTTATTTATGAACTTGCCAACGTTGACAGTTTTATACGTTCTTAATTTATTTATTGCTAATATATCTATGTCAATGTCAGTAAATATGTATTATTGAATTAAACAGTGATTTAGTTATAAGTTATTTCTGCGGTTAACTTCGAATGTCTCGTAACTAGTACGGATGTAAGAACAAGGAATTACATAGAAGGAATGATAAAATAAAAAAAACTGTAAATCATATGGTTGTCTCCTTTCTTCCTATGCAAATTTAATTAGAAATAAGAGGACGAAGGATACACCATCAGTTGCTATTTTTCTCAATTCATAGTAGGCTAGTGTATAGAAAATGTTTGATATGTCAATTATTTGTCAATGACAAATTTTACATTACTAGATTATATATTCGACACAGTTTATGTAGACAGTGTGCAAGCAGGTTGTATCTGAATTTGGTAGGGTTATACGGCCGTATAACATTTTCTATACACTAGCTTGCTATAAATTAGCAAAAATAGCAACTGATTGTGTATCTTCTATCACTTCTTCTATGTAATTCCTTGTTCTTAGGTACGATTAAATTTAATAGACATAGAAAGCATTCAAACTCAGAATTCTTACCTATTTTTAAAGCTTCAATTCTTTTTTAACTAATTACAACATTTTTTATATTTGTTATGTCAGAACTACATCATTTATAAATCGAGTTAAAAAAATATTTTTTATTCGATAGGACATTTTCAGTTTTGTCCGTCAAATGCCCCTAAAATAACTGTTAAATTTGAACAATTGAAGTCATCTAAAAAATTTAAATTAGATGATTTTGTACAGAACTCTCGTTGGGCAAGTTCGACTCGTGCTTGACTGGCTTTTTTATGAAGTGATAATGGATTGGTAACCCCGCTTGTACAAAAGCGGGATTATCATTCCATTTTCATGTCGCAAAAAGTGGTATAATGTCATCGTATGTCATACGTTAGATTCTGATGTCCACATACACAATAGCCTTATCAATATTATAAATATGAAAGTGTGTTTGTTTGTTACATCCAGATATTTTAACAGCTCAGGCAAATTTTATTTTTAAAGCTGACGGCCCACCTGATAGAAAGTGGTAACCGTCGCCTATAGACATGAACAATACTATGGACGTAACAGAGTATACTGTTTCACCTATGATACTCCCTAAGCGTTGCCATTCCTGAGGCCTCAGGTGTTATTCCTCGGTACCCTGTAAATTCACTGCCATATCCCATCCTTCAAACCGAAACACAACCATGCAAGCACAACTGCTTCACGGAAGAAACACGAATGGAACCCAGAGGTGTCCAAGCAAACGACATTTGTGCAAAGTCTTTGGTAGGGATTTATCCTGGTCTACTAAGATATCCCGGTCACGCAGACCAAGTCGCGGGTTAAAGCTAGTAATGGATAAGAGTCGTTGTAATATTAACGTGCTAATCGGGTAATCGCTTAGACAATCAAGCCAGATGTTTCTAGAATTACTATTAGATTAATGCCAACAAAATTAGCACTCTACATTTATTATGAATCGGTGTCGAGTGTCGCAGGGAGATATTTGTTTTTACGATGCTTTCTAAAGTTTAAACGTTCACGGTTAACAGAGGTTGAAATACTATTTTCAAGTTGTTTTTGTTGATTATCGTTAAAAAGGTTTAACGAAGTATATTTTAGCTAGTCAGAAAAACACGTAGTTACAACAGAAAATACATAGATATTATGTATAAGAAGCGTCTTATATTAGGCAAAAGGTACTATCTCAGCTGATGCAATTTATTCCATGGGAAGTTGTGAATCATTAAGAGAGAAATTTAAGGAAGCAACTAATCTCACCGTAACTTCACAGTAAATACACGCAAACGTTTTGTATATACGCAAGAATCTTCAACTGTTTCTTAAAAACAGCGATCTTCATAATCTTAACACTAGATACAAACTCAAACTTGCTGTTCCGAAGTATTGTTTAGAAAAAGTTAATAGGTCTTTTATGTGCATTAAATGTTATAATAAAATACCGAAGGACATTTTGGATCTGCATTTTAATAAGTTTTAAACACAAAAAACGATTGCTTAAATGACAAACGTGCATGGTGTTAGTCGATCGTGCACGGGCTTTTTAACGACCGCGTAATTTTAGATAGTATATTTAAATAAATACACATAATGTTAACAGTGATTTAAAAGAGTAACTGTTGAGTTTCTCGGAGGTTCTTCTAAGTGTATTTTTTTTTACAACACAGGGGGCAAACGAGCATTCGGCTCACCTGATGGTAAGTGACTACCGCCGCCCATGGTCACCCACAACACCTACGGCATTGCAGGTGTGCTGCCGGCCTTTTAAAAAGGAATATGCTCTTTTCTTGAAGGTTATGTTGTCGTATCAGTTCGGAAATACTGCTGCTGGAAGTTGATTCCAAAGAGTGGTTGTGTGATGTGATGTATAAAAATCTTCTGAACACTGTAGTAGTTTAAAAAAAATGACGATTCAAAAATTCTTCTAAACAAGTCTATTTGAATTTTGAAATTTTTGATGCTCTGAATGTCCCAGTGCAATGTGTACAGCTACACAGGGCTTGTTTACAGCTAGCCGCCCTCTTAATAACTTTTTTCAAGGTGGTACAAGAATTGTCTAATTTTCATAACTGTGTACTGAGGATCTATGTAGGAGGCGATATATAATATCTAGAACTGAGAAATTTTTTTATCATGCCTCCTACCAAATTGTTTATAATTACTCCTCTCCATCCAAAGGTTGCCTGGAAGAGATCGCTCTTAGCGATAAGGTCGCCCATTGTTTTCTCATTGTGATTATTTCTTGTAATTATTTATATTTATAATAAGTTTACTATTGAAATTATTTGGAGGTAACAATAAAGAGTATCTATCTATCTATCTATAATAGTATACTGGCCAGATGGTTTAGACTAGTACTTATTTTGAGCATTTTTCTCACTTGCACTTTTAGAAAAAAAAGGTAATAATAATAAGCTATATTTAGACGAGCTAATTTCACACAACTATAATATCTTACTTGAGATCCGGGCATAGAACGGGTTAACCCTTTATTTCCCGCG